TTGAGAACAACCATTCTCAGTCTTGTTGTCTTCATATTGGAATAACTTGGTAAGCTTTAAAAATATCGATGTGAATCTTCCACCATATCTCTGCTTTAACTTTCCAAAGGGCAGAATACGGCATCAGGATTTTTACAGCTCCATAGGTGATCTTAATGGGCAGCCAAGGTCAAGAACCTCTGTCCTAGGAGGTGTTGGGCAATCTCAGTAAAGCAGGCCAGGTACTCTCCCATAAGATTCTACCATATAGGTTCCTGAGACATCAACTTCACATTATAAACAGGTCAAGTAAATGCATGTTTGTCTTTTGGCTGCTTTGCTTCGAGAGCTCTTGGAATTGTTCAAGAGAGGGAACCAAAATTGCCCTTTTCCAATCATCTTGAAATCTTCATGTCCATAGGGCATTGACTTCTCCAGCTGCTCCCCTCATGTCTCCCTCTTCCAGCTTCATCATTCTTCATTCTTTCTAACCTTGCTCTAATTACTTCAAGGTTTGCAAGGCCTTGGTTTCCTCATCTATGAGGTTAAGATAACATTTATATATAACACACACTAAATCTAGCAAAACTCAACAATACATTGTAAAATTCTTGAAACCTTAAGAGGTTGGAAGGGTGCCTTGGTGGCTCAGTGGATTAAAGCCTCTGCCTTCAGCTCAGGTCACAATCCCTTTGGGCTCTCTGCTCAGCAGGGAGCCTGCTTCCCCCTCTATCTGCCTGCCTCTCTGTCTACTTGTGATCTCTGTCTGTCAAATAAATAAATAAGATCTTAAAAAAACCTTAAGAGGCTGGAGACCTATGGTTCTAGAACACTAAAATTATTTGAGAAGCTACAATATAAATAAAATAAGGTCAACTGCAATGGTTAATCCAGATTTTTTTTTATCCTATTTGTACACAGTTTAGGAAGTGATGCATATTTAAAGAAGTCCTTTCTAGTCAAACACTCCTCTACCTCTCTCTCAGGATTTTAGGTATCATAAAATTAACCAATTCTTCTGAAATAGGGAACTGATAAGTGATTACAGTTATAAACCTTAGTGGGATATCTACCTCCATCTAAGTGACTTCATCATGATAGAGTTAAAAGCCTGCATTCCATACCATGAAGCATCAGTATATCTGTACTGGGGAGGGAATTTTTATTAAGATCTTGAAGAAAGGAAGATTTAAACTTCTTTTAACATAAAGTTTATGCCTTAGGACAGTGGTTCTCAACATTTGTAAGGTTATCTGAGTTACCTGGGAAACCTGGTAATAGTACAAAGACCCAGATTTCTCCCCTATTTCAGGAGCTTGGGGCTTTGTAGTTTTTTAGTTCTTTATTTAGTTCTGATACACACCAAAGTTTGGGAACCATTGCCATAGGTCATCGGATGGCTCAGGGCACCTGGTTATTCTAACAAGGGAGGCCTTAATGGAGTGAACTATTCATTTCTTAGGATTTGAGATGCCTTTTTCCTTCAATTGAACTAGAAAGCACTCTCTGCCAGAGATTATGGACAAAATCCTATTTTTGTGGGCTGCCATCTCTTGATAGGTTTTTTGTTTTTTTTTTTTTTTTGGCCAGTTTAGGGTTCTAAGAAATGAATGGATGGTACTTTTAAAAATTTAGTGGCCTCAATTCTGTCTCTATTAGGGATCTCAAACTTTAATATGCAAATTAATCACCTGGAAACCTTATTAAAATGCAGCTTCTGATTCAGTAAATTTGAGTGGGGCCTGTGATTCTGAAATTCATCCATCCTTCCTCTCTCCCTTCCTCTCTCTTTCCCTTTTTTCCTTTTTTCTTTCTTTCTTTCTTTCTTTCTTTCTTTCTTTCTTTCTTTCTCTCTCTGTCTCTCTCTTTCTTTCTTAAGTTGGTGTGTTTGGTTTTGATTTTAGCCATTTGAATGGGTGTAAATTGATACCTCATTGTGGTTTTTATTTTTTGCACTTCTCTGATGATGAGTGATGCTGAGCATCTTTTCATGTGTCTGTTGGCCATCTGCATGTCTTTAGAAAAATGTCTATTCAGGTCCTTTGCCCATTTTTTAATTGGATTCTTTTTTTTGTTGTTGTTGTTGAGTTGCGATTTCTTTTGACATGGTAATAATATCTACTACTTACTGATCTCTTACTATGAATAAGACATCATACTATTCCCTTTAAATAGGTAATCTCATGTAATCCTCACAACTCAATAGAATAGATATTACTGTTGTTGTTTTAGAGATGAAGAAACTAAGTCACAGAGAAATATAACATTTCCAAGGTCACACAGCTCGTTAAGTTACAGAACCAGAACAAGAACCCCAATGGGTACTTTATAATCATAATTATATTTACTCTAACTACTACTATGAGTGGCTTTCCAAATTCTTTTGTCATTAAAAAAAGATTCTTTAAAACTGAAATGGTTAGAAGCCTCTATTGTAGAGGTTTCCCTTTAAATAATAAGAAAATGAGATTTTAAACCAAAGGCCATCTTTGCTAGTTTTGTAAGGCTGAAGCTTTAGATGAGGAAACACCATCACTCTGATGCATGGAAAAAAAATTAAAATACGGATCCCAGGCTTTCCTTCCAGATATTTACACGTGCAGAGTTGAGGAAATGTGTTTTAACAGTAAGAACATGGACTTTTTAAAAGATTTATTTATTTTTTAAAAAATTATTTTTATTTTTATCAAGATTAATTAGCCAACATATAGTACATCATTAGTTTTTGATGTAGTGTTCAATGATTCATCAGTTGGGTATAACACCCAGTGTTCATCACATCACTAGCCCTCCTTAATACCCATCACCCGATTACTCCATTCCCCCACCCCCCTCCCTTCTGCAATACTGTTTGTTTCCCTGAGTTCAGAGTCTTTCATGGTTGTCTCCCTCTCTGATTTCTTCCCATTCAGTTTTGCCTCCCTAGGAACAACAAATGTTGGCGAGGATGTGGAGAAAGGGGAACACTTTTATACTCTTGGTAGATTGATTGATTTATTAGAGAGAGAGAAAGGGAGAGAAACAAATGAGGAAGAGGTCAGAGGGAGAAAATCTTCAAGCAGATTCCCTGTGGAACAGAAAGCTTGACACAGGGCTCAATCTCATGACCCTGAGATCATGACCTGAGGGGAAAGCAAGAGTCACTCAACCAACTGAGCCACCTAGGGGCCCCGAGAACATGGAGTGTTTTTTTTTTTTTTTAATTTCTTTTCAGCGTAACAGTATTCATTGTTTTTGCACCACACCCAGTGCTCCATGCAATACATGCCCTCCTTAATACCCACCACCTGGCTCCCCTAACCTCCCACCCCCACCCCTTCAAAACCCTCAGGTTGTTTTTCAGAGTCCATAGTCTCTCATGGTTCACCTCCCCTTCCAATTTCCCTCAACTCCCTTCTCCTCTCCATCTCTCCATGTCCTCCATGTTATTTGTTATGCTCCGCAAATAAGTGAAACCACATGATAACTGACTCTCTCTGCTTGATTTATTTCACTCAGCATAATCTCTTCCAGTCCTGTCCATGATGCTACAAAAGTTGGGTATTCATCCTTTCTGATGGAGGCATAATACTCCATAGTGAACATGGAGTTTTGACTTAAATTGACTTTGGTTTGAATATGAGCTCCTCCAACTTACTTAGCTGTGTGGTCTGGGGCAAGTTACTTAACCTCTTTGTGTCTTAGGTCCTTCAGCTATGAAATGAGAATAATAACATTCACCCTTCTCTGTGCTATTCAAATTCATGGCCATGATTTGGTTTGCTTTGCCTTTTTGGTGGATTTTTGTGTTTATGATGTCGAACACTTTCTTTTTTCAGAGCTGCTGATAGCTATGTAGGGTGCAGGGACAAGGGCTGAATGCCTTCTCAGGCTCAGCCCCTACAGAAGTTTATTGTGGATTGTGTCATTCAAGTTCATAAAGAAGCAGACTGCAAAATGAAATTAAACTTGCAAGAGATTGATGGGGGAAACTTCTGTGAAGGATTGAAGGAAGGAGGAAGCAGAAGTAGGACAGGGAAAGCCTTCAGACCACAGTGCAGGTCCTACTGTATTGAAGGAAGAAGAGGGAGGAAAAAGTAGGGTAAAAAGAACCTGAGACTGCAGCAGAGGTCTGAGAAAGTCTTGGCCAGGACAATGGAGAACCTCAGAGCAAAGACTGCCCATTGGAGCAGTCCCATGTCAGGCAGAGTAACTCAGCTCTGGTGCCCCCACTCTGCTCAGCCATTGGCTGGGAATATAGTATGGGGGGAGTGTGGCCTTAGTGGAAACACTACAGTGTATCCCAAAAGTGCAGCAGCTGGGGGTTGTCGGCTAATGAGACTCCTCCCAGAAGGTTCTTTCTTGTGCGGCAACCTGTGTGTGCAACATTCATGGCTGCCACACACGTACTTTCAATTTTACATTGAAAATGTATATATGTCTGTGGGATGACATCAAAGAAAATGAGCCACATGCCAGACCATTAATGTCACTGTGTATACCTTGTTTTGATCTTGTCCTTTTAACTTTACCAACTGCCCCTTATCTATAATTCATTGTCATAACTTGCTAGGCCCACAGTTGATTTTTTACCCCTGTAAAAAAACAGTAAAAGCAGTGGTCACTGGATGAGATCAGTGGAACAACATCTGGCTCCTATAATGACTACATGTTTAATATTAGCTTTTATTTTTTAGATTTTATTTATTTATTTGAGAGAGAAAGAGGAAGTATGAGAGAGAGAACATGAGCAGTGGGAGGGGCAGAGGGACAGGGACAAGCAGACTCTCCAGTGAGCAGGGAGCCTGAGGTGGGGCTGGATCTCAGGACCCTGGGATCATGACCTTAGCCAAAGGCAGATGCTTAACTGACTGAGCCCCCCAGGTGCCATAATATTAGCTTTAAAATCTGTCATGTTAAGTAGCTGTAACTTTGTAACAATTCTAATTTATTAGCATTTCTTATTCCTGTTTAAGATCATGTCTAAAGAAGGAATTATTAAGCATAATTAACTTAGATTATCTTTTCTTGGTCTCCTGCAGTGTGTTGTCTAGCATGACAGATGCAGTGCTGGCTCGAGTGTACAAACAATCAGATCTAGATATTCTGGCTAAAGAAGCATCCATTCCAATCATCAATGGGCTGTCAGATTTGTACCATCCTATCCAGATCCTGGCTGATTACCTCACGCTCCAGGTTGGCTTATTTCTTTGCCTTACATAAAAGCAAAATAAATAAATTGTTCCCAACTAGCTCTAAATGGAACCATTTAAATCATGGTATTGGTGTTTTGTTTTCAAATATCATTTTGGCAAAGAACTACAGCATATGTGTGAATGCTAGATCTACAAAGGAGACAGGGCATTGTTAAAAACAGATCATCAGATCCTTCTATTCTCAACTCAATTCACAACCTCTTTTAGTCCCACCCCCCATCCCCTCTTCTTTCAATCACTGTTTTCTAGGACATATTTAACACAATGGATGAACAGAGAATGCTGGAGCATACAGAATGGAAATGTTTTATGTAATCCTACATACATCCGGCTCTGTGGCTTGGGAATGAAGACTGGTTGAGTATGCTTTGAATATTCAAAATGGTCCACTACCAAATCACTTTCTGAGAGGGAGGCCATTTTCTATCATTTTAATAAACTGATTGCTTGAGACTGGAGTTAAGAACACATAGAATTTATAGAACCGAGGCAAAATTAGCCATGTCCCCTTAAATTAGAAACTTGAATAACTTTGAAAAGATTCATCTCATTTGGCTTGCCACAGCCAATCTACATGGTCTTGCCATCGGGAATCCTGACAATCATGGTTTCTGTGTGGATGGACCGTTCTGGAAGACAGGGAGAACTGATGGATCCATATTCCTCCTTATTTGAATGAGCCACACACATATGAATGTGAAGTTAAACTCAAAATGAAATGGAACTCTTTGGTGATGAGGATAGGATTCATGCAGAGAAGATAATACAACAATGTTAGATACCAAGTGGCTGCTGGCAGGTATGGCTTTACATATATGCCAGATAATTTAATGCTCCCCCCTGGGGCTTCATCATTACTAGATTACAGATTCATTGAAGGACAATAAAAAAAATTTCCTATTCATCATATTGTCCCCTGCAGGGCCTGGTGCAATGCCTTCATATAGAAGATACTCAAAGCAGGAGTTGAGTGAATAAATAGCAGCTTATTAAGAACATGGCATTTATATCAGATGGACCTGGATTTAAATCCTAGATTCACCATGTAGTAGTTCTGCGATCTCAAAGTTGTTTAGCCTTCCTATTTTTAAAATATTATCTTTATGAATATATAAAATCTGTGAAGCCTACAGACACTTCAAGAAAAATAAAACAAACGCCCTTAAGCCTATTACATAGTTTTGTCACATCTTACTTTAGAAATTTTTTTGTTTTTAAATAATATATTATAAAGAGTTGAAGCATACTGTGTAACTCTCCCTGATCCCATTTCCTTTCACCCCACAAAGAAATTATTTTCCTGATGTTTGTATTTATAATTCCCAGGCATGTGTTTATATTTTGACTACACATCTATATCTGTAAACAACCAAAATATTAATGGGCATGTTTTTTAACTTTATATAAATGCAAACATAGACACCATGTTCCACTGTTCAAGATGCATTGTGTTTCCCCATTCTAATACCAATGAATGTAAGCTCCATAAAGGTAGTGATTTTTTTTTTTCTCTCCTTTCTTCATTGTTCTATCTCCAGGACCAAGGAAAGCCTCTGGACACTCAATTTGTTGAGTGAATGAATGAGTGAACGAACGAATGAGTGAATCCAACAAAGATTCAGATTTGGAATGTATGAAACTTTGAGTCTCTGTATGAGTTCATATGATGTCATGGTTTAAGACATTAAGTCATTTTGCTATTTGTTGTGATTATACATTCATATTATTGCTCTATATAATGCAAAAACAAAAAACTAGTAGTTTGTTCATTCCAACAAAGCTATAAAAAATGACTCTTTCCTTTATTTTAGCTCTAATAATTGTTTCACACAAGTGGCTTTCCTCCTGGATGTAATCTCCTCCTCCCTTGGCTTTTAGGAACACTATGGCGCTCTGAAAGGCCTTACCCTCAGCTGGATTGGGGATGGGAACAACATTCTGCATTCCATCATGATGAGTGCTGCAAAATTCGGGATGCACCTTCAGGCAGCTACTCCAAAGGTAGGGGAACTTTCTGCCTTGAGACTAAGCCCCTCTTAAATCATCCCAGATACAACTACCAGTGAAAGCAAACCAGTCTTCCATTCAAGGAAGGCACAGGTGAGGCCACAAACTTAAGGCTATGTAACTAGCATTACTATTACATTTATGTGGCCTCTTGAGTGCCCATTTCCCATGAAGCCTCTCATTTGTGCGTCTTTCTTAAAACCCTCTCTGAATTATCCCTTTGATGGCCCTGAAGCCAGCCAGTATGATGACTGGCATCCTTGGGCACCGCTACAACAGAGGCTGAAGAAAGCAATGAAATCCAGACAGTGTAGAATTCCCAAGGCATAGAGAGAATGTCATCACTTTTCTAATACTGAGTTTAGTGGAAAAAATGCCAATCTAGTGTGAAGGTCACAGTGATGGCTTCTATACCAGCTTAATATTTCAAACTCAACTCCAGGGGCCCTGCAACTTTTTGAATCTAAGTCCCACGCGGCTGTGAAAATGTCCCCAATTTACTTCCTACTCTGCTGCTAATCTCACACAGAATGTACAGGAGGCATGACTTCTTTCATAGGTTATTTTCAAAAGTAACACTTTTGATATGTAAGGAGCTGGTAATAGTTGCTGCCTCTGAGAAGGGGAAGTGGGAGGTTCAAGGACAGAGATAGGTGGGAGACTTTATTTTCATGGTATATCCTTTTATGTGGTTTGAATTTCTCAACATGTTAATGTTTTACCTACATAATGACATAAATCCATAAATAATACACCCAAATAAAAAAGTGTAGATGCCTCCAAGAGAAGCCCTATGTTAAGACACTCCCTGCCTCATACAAAATAAATAAGCCTTTTACAGGACAAAAATTAATGTACAAGAGACTCATACACAAACCAGTACTGAAGGATCCCCACAGAACCTTTTAAATATTCCATCACTGGGGCGCCTGGGTGGCTCAGTGTGTTAAGGCTCTGCCTTCAGCTCAGGTCATGACCTCAGGGTCCTGGGATCAAGCCCCGCATTGGGCTCTCTGCTCAGCAGGGAGCCTGCTTCCTCCTCTCTCTCTGCCTGCCTCTCTGCCTACTTGTGATCTCTGTCTGTCAAATAAATAAATAAAATACTAAAAAAAATCCCATCACTACTGAATATTTTCCCCATTATGTTTCTGATTGGCTAATGATATCCAATCGGAAGTCTTTTTTTTTAATGGATTTTTTAAAAGATTTATTTATTTGACAGAGCCAGAAAGACAGAGAGAAATAAAGTGAAAGATAAAATTGGCCCTGTCATTAAGAGCAACTCCTCACAATTACTGTGGACTAGTGTGTTTCTGACCAGGCATCTGTTTGCTGCTATTTCAGTAGTGAGTGCGAGGGTTCTCTCTAACAAACTAAGACGTCCAGAGGCATCTTAAAATTACTAAGGCCTAAAATTACTCCCTGCTTCTGCTTCTTGAGTTTGAGATGTTTATTTGCCAATCACCAGGAACATGAATTACACAATATGGGTTAATTACTGAATTTCTCTAATAGGAAATTCCCCAGTCCCCCAGGCTTTCATGCGCTCTTCACCCCTTCCTACACCAGTGTCTTGGGCTGAGTTCCCTACAAGGGATTTAGTGAGGATTTGTGTACAGGTATTAAAGGAGTACTCCTAAGGAAGACCTGTAGGAGAGTAGAAGGACAGAGAGAAAGAAGAATCTAAGCAAGAGGGCCATTTAGAGTCACTAACCATCCCGGTTTGCCTAAGACTGAGGGATTTCCAGGGACATCGGACTATCGGTGCTAAAACTGGGAGACTCCCAGGCAAAGGGCATGATTGGTCACTCTAGTGCCACGTCAGGCATCATCCTACAGAAGGAAGCTACAGCCTGATCCCACAGGTGAGCTCAGAAGCGTAACTTATGCCCCAGAGTTGTCTCAACCTGAGGCAAGGAAGGTGGGCTTGCTTCCTCTTTTTTAAAGATTGTATTTATTTATTTTAAAGAGAGAGAGAGAAAGAAAGAAAGAGAGAGAGAAAGCGCACAAGCGAGGGGAGGGACAGAGAGAGAATCCCAAGAGGACTCTACACTGGGAGCCAATGCGGGGCTCTGTCCCAGGACTCTGAGATCATGAACTGGGCCAAAATCTGAAGTCAGATGATTAACCAACTGGGTCAGTCACACACCCAGGTAGGTGGGCTTTCATTCTTTGAACCAGTCATTGGTCAAAGGCAGCAAGGGGAGGTGGGGTAGTAAATCCCCTGGCACTTTCAGCAGGAAAGCAGCTGGGTAGCCAGAGAGCTGTCTTCCGAGGAAGAGCTGCAAGTGCTGTTAAAAGCCCATTGAAATGGGGAGAGGGAGCAAAAGCTGTGAAAAGAAATCCTACGATGGCATCTGCGTAGAGCACCGGCATTGTCCACTGTCTCCTGCCAAAGAAAAAGAAAATAAAATGCTTTTCACTAGTGCTCTTGCTGAACCAGTTTGAGTCAATGTGCCCTCTGTCATAACAAAGTACCACACACTGGGTGGCTTCAAATGATAGAAATTTATTATTTACAGTTCTGGAGACTAGAAGTCCAAAATCAAGATGGCGGTGGGGCCACGCTCTCTCTGAAGTCTCTAGGAAAGAATCCTCATCTCTCTCCACAGCCCCAAGCTTCCTGGGCTTGTGGCTGCATCCTTCCAGTCTCTTCCTCAATGTTCTTGCCTTTATGTCTCTGTTTCTCTGTACAGATGCCCCTCTTCATAGGAGAACGTCAGTCATGTAAAAAGTAGGCCCGCCCTAATCCAGTATGACCTCATCTTAACTCCTTACATCTGTGAAGACCCTCCTAGATAAGGTTACATTCTGAGGTTCTGGCTGAGAATGAATTTTGGGAGGACACTCTTCTACCTAATAAACTTGTCATAGAAGAAATGGCAGACACAGACAACAGCATGTATTAGAAGCCACCCTATTATAGTAAACTGTGGGGACTCAGAGAGAGAATTCGTTTTTTTTTTAAGATTTTATTTATTTGACAGAGAGAAAGAGGTCACAGGTAGGCAGAGAGGCAGGCATAGAGAGAAAGAGGGGGAAGCAGGCTCCCCGCTGAGCAGAGAGTCTGATGCGGGGCTCGATCCCAGGACCCTGGGACCATGACCTGAGCCGAAGGCAGAGGCTTTAACCCACTGAGCCACCCAGGTGCCCCTCAGAGAGAGAATTCTTACAGCAGATAATTCTCTTTCTTTCAGCATAAATGGAAATGAAGGGTCAGATCCGACTTGTGCTTAAGGTGGTTCTCCTTCACTTTATGGGAAGAGTTAACCCACTGTCACCCAAATCTAGTTGGAAGAAAAGCTCTGTATTAATGCAAACTGTGATTGCATTTAGTTTTTACAGTGACAACATTTATTAACAATAACTGTTCCCTGATAGAAGATGCTTCTGGAGAGGTTTTATTCTGTTGGAAAAATATAGGATTTAAACATTTTATGGTGTGTCAGAGATGTTTTATTACCACCAAAGGGAAAAAATTTGAATCTTACAAAGTAATTTTGATATTGTTCTTAGGCAAAAACTCATTTAAATGACAGACAGCGTTAAAACTTTGTCAAATCTTGGTGGGAGTAAGAGTTTTAAGAAGTCTTTGGGAAAGTGTGATAGTGCAGATGTTGTTCAGTTAATTTATAAGTAGGCCTATTTCCTTTCAAGATAAAGCTAGGAGATTTATTGTAAATTTAAGAAGCCCTGAAGTCTCCAAGGCCATAATTAATCTATTTCCCCATTCTTCAACTGGGAATCACTTACATGTTCAAGAAAACATAATTTTGTCCTTGATTGTAAAATTGCTCCATAAACTATTGATGGTAATGATTTTAACATTGTTCTAAGTGAATATTTAGACTGAACTGGGTTTGTTAATCACCTTCTTCCTCTGGTTTTAAGATTTATGTAAAAGCCAATGAGTGATTTAGTATTGAAAGCTGAGCTGTGAGTAAAGAATTCCTCTTTGTATTCTCAGTCATGGCCCAGTGCATGCAAGGTTGGGTGATTTTCTAATTTCCAAACCTCTCTGTTGGTTCTCTAAGTACTTATTGATCCCTTCTGTAAGAATGATTATATGTAGGGAGTATAAAACCTGCTCTCTAGAGGGAAGGCTAAATTTTCAGGGCAGGAGGCACACGGGGTAATGGCCAAGCCTCTTCATTTATGTTTACTGGTATGAATGGTCATATTAGTTACTAAATTAGCAAAGCTTTATTAATTACCTTCTCCACATCCCTATAAAAGAGCTCTAGAACTTATGGCTATTTGAGGGTGGTCTAAAATGTCTGTGCCACCATCATCAGCGTCATGTGTAGTTTCTTTCAAGAATTTTGTTATGAGAAGGAACTATGGTAGACACTCATGTGCAAATAGACAGTTTCAAAGGAATGATCCTGAACATGCTTGTGACGGGCTGAGGTTCCCGGGAGTAGACTCTGAGACAGAGTTTGGTACGCAGGATGCTTATTAGGGCATGCCCTTGAGGCCAACACCTGTGGAAGGGAAGGGAGGAAAGCAGGAGTGGGCAGAGGAAGAAGCCGAGCCGCACTGCAGGTCGAACAACAGCCTCGTCTGACCTTACAGAGACTTCTAGATCTGAGATGGCCATTTAGAGCTGTTCCAAGTTGGGAGGAGGGAGTCAAGTTTCCAACCCCTTCTGTCAATCAGTCATTGAATGTAGGTCGTCCCAGAAGGGGATGTGACCTTGGATGAGTCAGCTCTCTGCAGCTGAGGCATTGCCCAAAGAGGGCTGGCGGCTGAAAGCCAGCTTCTGGCAGCACGCCCAGCAGCTGGGGGAATAAGCTCTTTATTCGTGAAGGGGGGATGTGAGTGGCATATCACAGTGTGTATCACAATGCTCCAGTGAGAATTTCTAAAACCCAACTTATAATAAATGCTAAGAATTCGGGAAAATGAGAAGGATGGAGGAAGGTGAGAATAACTGGGCTGTTTGGACTGACAAGACCTCCATATGGAGGGTCCAGAGGTGAGGCTGGGCTAAAGTTTGACAAAAGAAGAGCTGACATGTTCCAACGAAGACCCCCAGGAGGGGACAGGAGGAGGTGTTCAAGGGTAAAAGGCTGAGATGGCAGAAAAGGGCAAGACGTAGTGCGGAGATAACACTCAGATTGCCTTTCCTACAGCAAGATGTTGAGAAGAATTAAGAGAGACAGAAACAGGGAATGTGGGGGCAGGGGGAAGCCTTGATACTCTTAATCAGCTTGGACTTAAGGAACAAGTGGTAAACATTGCAGGCTTCAGAGAGAACAATCCTCGCTGCTGTTGACAGAACAGATTGGAGGGTGGGGGAGGTTCAGGGCTACCTGGGGCGTCTGGAATAGCTCGGGGGAGGCTTTAGTGCCCTCTAACGTCCCCTCACCCAGAGTTGAGACTCAGCCAAGCAAGCGAGGCCCCTCTGGTGCGCCATTTGTGCTCACAAAGACTCTGACAGTTCTGCTTAAACTCTGTGTCCCAGCACCTCGCTTGCTTCACCCAAGCCCCGACCCTGCTTTCGCCAAACGATCCCAGACAAATATATTTGAGGAAAAGCAGGGTGCTTGTGGTGTAAATGGCATTTCAAAGCACGAGCCCTGCACTCAGAACACTGGCACGTGGCCCCAAGCTAACTTGGGTGCTTGGGGAAGGTTCTTCTGCGGAGGAGACATTTGAGCTGAGACTTGAAAGCGTTAGCCACATGAAGCAAGCGGAGAAAAGCATCCCAGACAAAAACAGAAACAAATACAAAAACATTGCAAAAAAACCCCACACAACTCCTGGAAAGATGGAGACAAAATGGCATCTGCTTGTAGAATTACATATGTAATCCTCTTAACACTATTAGAGGAAGGAGAAGGGGCCCTACTGAGAGCTGGAAAGCACCATGCCCTGTTTATCTGATAATTGAAGAGGTGAAGGATAATAAGAGAAAGATGGGGCAGCCGGTTACCTTGTTAAATTCCCAAAAGCCCTATGAAGGTTTGGAATTTAGATGTCAATACCGTATCCCACTTGAAGCAGCAAAGGGAAGGACAGCGGACATTGCTGTTGAGAGGAAAATAATACATATATAAGACAGCCTAATACAAAACAGTTGCCTAAATAACAGTTGATTTCTTCCCCCTGCAGGGTTATGAGCCAGATCCCAGTGTGACCAAGGTGGCAGAGCAGTATGCCAAGGAGGTATGCTCCTTATATGTAAACTTAGAATGGCCTTTCTCTGTCCCATGAACTTGTTTAACGGCCATGCTTGTGTATGCTAGAATGGCACCAAGCTGTCACTGACAAATGATCCATTGGAAGCGGCTCGTGGAGGCAATGTGTTAATTACAGACACGTGGATAAGCATGGGACAAGAAGAGGAGAAGAAAAAGCGGCTCCAGGCTTTCCAAGGTTACCAGGTTACAATGAAGGTACAAACTGATGTCTCTCTGAAAGTTCATTAATTCCATTCACAAAGGGCGAACCATCTGATCACTCGTTCGCTTTGGGGACCGCAGACTGTCCTCTCCTTCCCTATAAAGGATGCGCTGACTGCATCCTCCAGGGATTTCTCTCCTCCTGAAGCTTAGCTATGGATGGCCTTTGGAAAGACTCTTTTGTCCTGGATGCAGGCATTTGCAATCAGGCAGAAGAGAGAAGCAAGCTTTTCCCTTTCACAGCGATGGGGCCGTGGAGGCATCGGAATGCTTTGCTGTGTGTGTGTCTAGAGACACTGTTACTTCTGTTGCATGCAGTTTCTTCCTATTTCTCCTCTAAGAAAAGCTGTATAATTAGGTTCTTCGGGCTAGTCCTTGCCTCTAGTTGTTCAGGACACTCGAGTCCAGTTTAGCTTTGCTTACGGCTTCCAGGGCATTCCCAGGGGAATCCCATCTACTCTGATGCCTTTCATTAAGATCTGAAGCAAGTCTTCTCAGTGCCTCTGAATTGCCTGGAGCTCTTAATACACAGCTGGCAGGACCCCACTCCGCTGGGGTTCTGAATTAGTAGATTAGAGGTGGGACCCAAGAACTGGCATTTGTACCAAGTTCCCAGGTGATGCAATGCTGCTGCTCCAGGGTCACACTTTGAGAACTGCTCTTCTGGAGGAATACTCTACCAGGCAAGTGTACGTTGGGATTTTGTCAGCAGAGCAGCTAGTCTGTTTTGGTAGAGAAAGAGACTGAGCAAACACTACAGATATTTCATTGATAAAGCAATATGTAAATACTAGCTCCTTATTTATCCATGTCAATAGAATGAAATTTGGAAAATAAAAAGTGAAAGTGTCTTTCCCTTATCCTTTCAATAGTGACTATTCCCAGAGGGAGCCATGGCTCGACCATTTGATGCATCCCTTTGCAGACCTTTTCTGTGTATTTATATATGACTTCATATACACACACACAACTATTAATGTCTCGTAAATGGCATATCGGACATATTATTCTGACTTACTTTCCCCACTTAACAAATCTTAGATTTTCTTGGCCATTTATTTAGATATTTTTCATTCTTTTAAATGGTTGCATAATATTCCAAGCTCTGGGGGAACTATGATTTATGTTGATAAACTGGGCTATTTTTAATGATCCCAATTACAAACAATGCCGCAATGAATATCCTTAGACGTATTTCTCTGTGCAAGTATTACTGGAGAACAGATCCATGGAAAAAGAACTTCTGTGTAAAGTGGGATATACTTTTTAAAATAGGTAAATGCTGCTAAATAGCCACCCAAAAAGAAGATAATTTCTACTCTCTCCATACTCTTTCTACTCTTAGTTGTTATTTACATTTTTAATTTTTAAAATCTGTATCTCATGCTTTTTAAATTTTGCATTTCCTGGATTACTAATGAAGCTAAACATCGTTTCCTGTTTACTGGCCATTTCCATGTGTCTTTCTCTAAAATGCTATCATATCCTTTGCCCATTTTCTATTTTTTTGCCATTATTGGTTATAGGAGTTATTTATACATTATGGCTAATCTGTTGGCATATATGTGGAAATACGTTCATGGAGAAATTCTAAATTCCTTGTGGCTTACCTCGTCCTTGCCTTGACCAGCCTTAGGCATTTTTGTGGTGCCAGGACTGCAGGCTTGAAGCACATTCATCACACTGATGTATGACTGACTCAAATGTTATTCCTTTCCCATGTAACTTAGCCATTATTTTAGAAATTCAGAAGGTTCTGAACCTCGAACAAGTATGGGAAGTAAAAAGTTTAGTAAAAAGCAGTAATTTTGAGGTAAGAAATTATGAGGTACTGCAGTTTTGACTCTGTACGTGAACAATGGAAATGGATGGGAAAATGTAGCTTTCAGGACTTAATGGCTGGAGAAAATTACAACTGTTAGGACTGTTGCATTAAGAAGGAAACCTCTTGTATATACTGCTCATAATCCTGTTTAATGCACTCCTATCTCAGCGCACTCTCTTTCAAAAGTGTTTTAATTAGTGATGAAGTATACTTCAACTGCTAAAAACCGTAACTTATAGATAAGCTCAAAATGTAACATAACCTCATAAAAGCAACTTTTAAAATATATTGGGGCATAATGGGTAACTTTTGCTATCAGCCACGCATTACACCCATGGAACTCTTTACTGAAATGTTCACAATCCCTCTAGACAGAGAACCAGAACACGGAGTTAGTGGTTTAATTTGGAGTAACATTCTCCCAAATTAAAAAAAAAATGACTATAAAATTCCGTAAGTTGAAAGTACCATTTATGTTTCCTTTTGGTGCCTTGAATTTAAACCACCGCTCTGCCTCGTTGTCTCTCCCTTTGCATTTGGTCTCTGACTCCACACCATATGTGTGTTTTAATATTGAAGAAGACAAAAGCAATAGCCATATATACTAGTCAAAACACAGATGCATCCTATTTCTTCTTTAGACTGCTAAAGTTGCTGCCTCTGACTGGACGTTTTTACACTGCTTGCCCAGAAAGCCAGAAGAAGTGGATGATGAAGTGTTTTATTCTCCACGATCACTAGTATTCCCAGAGGCTGAAAACAGGAAGTGGACAATCATGGTAAGCAAGAAATGGGGAATGGAAGCTAAGAAGAGTTTCTCTGTGTGGCCCTAACTTGGTCATTCATGCCTTTTGGTAAATAATAAGCAACTGAGATTATCTACCTATATGACTTACTCATATGGCATCTACTTTTTTCCCAGGAAGTTCATAATAGATTGTTATTGCTTCTTAGCATTTATATTGTATTTTTAATGGTATAAAATTGATGTCCTTCCAGATATATCTATTTTATTTTATTGCCATTTTTTTTTAAGAAAGCGAGAGAGTGAGCAAGAGTGAGCCAGGGGGCGGGGCAGAGGGAGAGGAAGAGAGAATCCCAAGCAGGTCCCATGCCAAGTGTGGAGCCCCAGGCTGGGCTCAGTCTCATGACCCTGAGCTGAAATCAAGATTTGGGTGCTCATCTGAATGAGCCACCCAGGTGCCCCCAAATATATCTATTTTAATAAAAATTGAGGCTGCTCTTAATCAGCCTGAACACCAGCCACCATTGTCTGCCAACCATTATATTGTATAATTCTTATTTTACAGTCCCCTTATTAAAATTTATAAAGATTCCTAATTCAGTGCCTGGCACAAAATGAGTATTTAAAGATATCTTATTTCCTTTCTCTTTTCTTCCTTTTATGACTTACCCAGATCATTGTTTTGGTACTCTACTTGACTTTGGCTCTATAGATATATCTGCTTTAAGTACTGAACATTTCCGGAACTGCAACAAAACTAATTTAACAAAATACTGCTCCACTTAACATAAGTTTCATCTTCATCACTGCTATTCTAGGAAATATTAACCTTACATCTGTGTGTTACAATAGTCCAAGCATCACCTTCTTCTCTGAAAAACCGACGTTCCTGTGCCATAATTTAGTACCATTGTCTTTTTTGTTTTTTTAGTTTTTAGTGATTTAACTGATTTCAATTACTGTACCAGCTGGGTTCTTGCTGGCAAATAGAGGCCACTCTAGGAAAGATAAAAAGATAATATAGGAATTTATTAAGAGACATTTAGCAGTGCCCAGAATCTCTGGGGAAAGAAAGTGCAGCAAGTCATTCCTGGACACCACATATTCAGAAACAACACACGCAAGAAAATCGCCCAACAACATTGTGGTTCTTTAGTAGCCAAACAGCACTGACACAGCTACGCAAAGACTGGTACCTAAGACCCCTGAAACTAAATGCCAGATACTCCATTATCGCTGCCCCAGCTGAACCAGATACCCCCCATCTGCTTAGACCAGAAGACCTAATCTCTCAGACGATGGCTTTCAATGCACGTTCACTTATGACTCTAAGACTTGAGTACCTACAGTTGAGTGTCATGTCAGCACTGTAGCTTTTGGGAAAAGTAGTTTATAACTTTCAAATCCTGGAGTACAGAAAAATGAGCTGGAAAAGACTCTGGTAATTTTTTTTATCTAATGGGAATTCATTTTATCTAAATGGGAATAGATAGGGTTATTTTATCTAAATGGGAATAGATAGGGTTATTGTGAGCATTAAAATAATACATGTAGAGAATTTAGTATGGTATCTAATACACTGTAAGTATTATTATAATTATTATCACTGACATCTTTTTCATTGTTGACCTAATACGGTGACCAGGAGGGTTTTGAGCTCCACTATGGCTGCTTGAAATCCAATCATGATTTCCTTTCCAATGGAAAGTTATATGTCAGGTCTAAATTTGTCATATCTAATAGGAGGGATGATTTTGTTTTTACTGTACCCTCCAGCTGGCCACCTCAGGACACTAGCTTTGGCCAAAATGGCGACTGCCACGTTATCTAGACCTGTGCTTCCAAAGCTTTTTTAAAAAATTTTTTTTATTATGTTACATTAGTCACCATACAGTACTTCATTAGTTTTTGATGATGTATTGTTACATGATTCATTGTTTGCATATAACACCCAGTGCTCCATGTAATACATCTCCTCCTTAATACCCATCACCAGGCTCACCCATCCCCCCCACCCTTCTCCCCTCTAAAACCCTCAGTTTGTTTCTCGGCATCTGTAGTCTTTCATCATTCATCTCCCCCTCTAATTCCCCCCCCCTTCATTTTTTCCTTCCTTCTCCTAATGCTATTCCTTATGTTCCACAAATAAGTGAAACCATATGATAATTGTCTTTCTCTGCTTGACTTATTTCACTTAGCACAATCTCCTCCAGTTCCAGCAATGTTGATGCAAATGTGGGGTATTCATCCTTTCTGATGGCTGAGTAATATTCCATTGTATATATGGACCACATCTTCTTTATCCATTCGTCTGTTGAAGGACATCGTGGCTCCTTCCACAGTTTGGCTATTGCGGACATTGCTGCTATGAACGTTGGGGTGCATGTAGCCTTTCTTTTCACTACATCTGTATCTTTGGGTAGTGTAGTGTAATTGCTGGGTCATAGGATAGCCTTAACTTTTTGAGGACTCTCCACACTATTTTCCAAAGTGGCTGCACCAACTTGCATTTCCACCAATAGTGTAAGAGGGTTCCCCTTTCTCCTCATCCTCTCCAGCATTTGTTGTTTCTTGCCTGGTCAATTTTTGCCATTCTAACTATTTGAATCACCTAGGGATCTTGTTAAAGTGCAGATAGATTCAATAGGCCCCGAGATGGGGCCCAAGATCCAGCATTTCTAACAAGCACCTAGGTAATGCAGATGCTGCTGTCCGGGAGACCACATTTTGAGTAGCAAAGATCTAGATGACAAAAAAGAAAATGTGAGCTCTTCAACCACATACCCCAGGAAGAGGCATGGCAAAAAATTTTTCTCAAGCTCTAGTCTTTCTCAGAAGATGACTGAAGTTACAAAGATAAATCAACCCAAATCTGTTAAAACATGACCTTTGCAGAAATTCAGTGGGGAAAAATTAAAAGAAATGTTGCTAAAATATCATTTATGGAGATGTTCTGCACTTCTGAATTTTTGAAGATCTTATTAAACAACATCTTTAAATTGAATTTACTTTAAAAAATTAAATACATCATGTATTCACATTATTAAGATGCTTACAAGGATAAATATATATACATATATACATACGTATAGATAGATAGATAGATAGATAGATACACACATACATAAACAAAGGGAAATCTTATGTCCACCTATTTTCCATCTGCCTAAGACCTACCACCATCTCTCCATACCCTACCTTCCTGAAGTGCCCACTATTATTAGGGGAAAATATATTTCAAAGCAAACAAGAGGCATAGCCATGTTAAAATGAAGGAAGAGCATCTAAAATAGAAAGAATATTGCCTGGGAGTGAGAAGACTTGCACCCTAGATGCATTCTTTATATACTGCATACTTTATATACTTTTTTATCTTCAGTTAGCCAGCATATACTTTATATATTTTATATAGTCTTTAATGCTCGTGAACTCTGCCATCTTGGATAAGTATTACCTCTCTGGGTCCTGGTTTCCTCACAGATAAGATCAACAGATCAAACTATACAGATGGCAAATGGTTTTCAATCATAGGGTCCTCAGTCTCAGCAACAGGCTACTTAAGTTATCTATGTTCAGAAGGTTCTAAGCCTACCTGTGGTCTCAGAAAGAAAGTGACATAACTAGTGACACCTGACATGGATTCTGGAAGAGAGGTGGTGACACACGTGCTATATTCTTCAATTCTCTGAGTTAGAGACTGGAGGTCCCATTGAGTGAAGTTCATGTTGGCAGTCGTATACTATGCATCTACTAGGTGCTGGTCCCTCTGCCAGGCATTGGAGATTAAAAACAAAACAAAAAAAAGAATAGTATGTAGTCCCCAGTTAGCCTGTACAATTCCTAGGAATATGATATTTTCAGGGGAGATGAGACCCTAGAGATTGTCTAGTCTAAATTCCTATTTTACATGGAAAGAAATGATTCTTAGGTAACTTATTTGAAATGGCATTTAGGCTTAACACTACTGAGATAGATTTCTCTGGGATGTTCTAAAGGCACAATACTTGTTTTCCTCTAGAAATTCCCTATCCAGTGTAATAGCTACTAGGCACTTGTGGCTATTTCTATTTAAATTTAAACTAATTAAAATATAATGAAATGTAAGAGTTTATTCCTCAGACATACTAAGCACATTTTAAGTGCTCAATAGCCACACATGGCTGGTGGCTACATTATTTGTATCTGACAGCACAGACATAGAACATTTTGATAATTGCAGAATGTTCTGCTGGACAGGACTACTGTCTAGAGAACAATTTCCACACATAATTTCATTTAAAATCAGGATGGAAGAAGAAAAGAAAAATACAATCTAGCCTCAAGTTCTAACATGTCCATAATGACTGATGGCAAATACATAACTAAATAGGGTGGGGCTTGCTCCAAAAGCAATTAACTTTTTTTATTAACATATAATGTATTATTTGCTTCAGGGGTACAGGTCTATGATTCATCAGTCTTACACAATTCACAGGGCTCACCGTAGTACATGCCCTCCCCAGCAAATGCATATTCTTTCAGTACTTAGAGGAGCTTTTCAAAGCCTCCATGTTGGGTGAATTCTAGCTGTGCTGTTCAGAACACTCTAGTAATCATATCATTCTCTCCATTGTGCAAAAGCCTTTGGATCCCTTTGTTTTATTTTGTTTTTTAAACATACCCTCTCCTCCCCACAAAGGTTGCTTTTGTATTTTTCAGTAATTAGGAAGGTTGTAGAACTCATAAAACGTCAGGTACCTTTCTTCCTCTGCCTACAATTTTTACTGTGGACCTGAAGTAACCTAAAGGGACTGCGCAGTAGAGCTGATACTTCAAAGCACTGTTATCAGGATGATCCTTAGATATGCAACACCACTGCAAATCTAATTCACAGTATTTTAGTACTTTATTTCTCTCCAAATTAGGGGTGACAGATCAAATACAGGATACCCAGTTAAACTGGAATTTTAGCTAAACAACAAATAATTGTTTAGTATAGGTATGTCCCATGCAATATTTGGAACATACTTACAGTTTTTAAAAAAAATGTTGCTTTCTTAAATGCCAATTTAACTGTCTGTATTTACTTATTTGTTTATTTAACCAAATCTGGCAACTCTACTCCAAGTTGACTTTATAAGATTTAACATTTGAAAATAAATTTGACACTTGCAATGACCATTAACAATTAAAAAAAACAAACAAACTGAGATGTGATCCTAAAAACCCATAAAGAAGCTTAAAATATTTTACCTGGAAGGTGTTCTTATCCTAGAGTTTGGCCTTCCTAGTTTCTTCTTGTCATTCAAATCTCAAATGTCATTCCTTTAACAAGGCCTTCACTGGCCACCCACTCTTTTTTCTTAAATTTTATTTTATTTTTTCAGTGTTCCAACATTGTTTATGAATCACACCTAGTGCTCCATGCAATACATGCCCTCCTTGATACCCAGCACCAGGCTCACCCAACCCCTTACTCCCCCTCCCCTCCAAAACCCTCAGTTTGTTTCTCAAAGTCCACAGTCTCTCATGGTTTGTCTCGCTCTACGATTTCCCCCAACTCATTTCTCTTCTCCTTCTCCCAATGTCCTCCGCGTTATTCCTTATACCCCACAAGTAAGTGAAACCATATGATAATTGACTCTCTCTGCTTGACTTATTTCACTCAGCTTAATCTCCTCCAGTCCCATCCATGTTGATACAAAAGTTGGGCATTCATCCTTTCTGATGCAGGTGTAATATTCCATTGTATATATGGACCATATCTTCTTTATCCATTCATCTGTTGAAGGGCATCTTGGCTCTTTCCACAGTTTGGTGACTGTGGCCATTGCTGCTATGAACACTGGGGTACAGATGGCCCTTCTGTTCACTACATCTGTATCTTTAGGGTAAATACCCAGTAGTGCAATTGCAGGATCATAGGGTAGCTCTATTTTTAATTTCTTAAGGAATCTCCACACTGTTTTCCAAAGTGACTGCACAACTTGCATTCCCACCAAGAGTGTAAGAGGGTTCCCAATTCTCCACATCCTCTCCAACACTTGTTGTTTACTGTACTGTTGATTTTGACCATTCTAACTGGTGTGAGGTGCTCTCAATGTGGTTTTGATTTGGATCTCCCTGATGCTAATGATGATGAAAATTTTTTCATGTGTCTGTTAGCCATTTGTATGTCTTCTTCAGAGAAGTGTCTGTTCATGTCTTCTGCCCATTTTTTGATGTGATTATCTGTTTTGTGGGTGTTGAGTTTGAGGAGTTTTTAATAGATCTCAGATATCAGCCCTTTGTCCGTAGTATAATTTTGTGAATATTTTCTCCCATTCCGTGGGCTGCCTCTTTGTTTTGTTGACTATTCCCTTTGCTACCCACTCTTAAAGAGGTTCTTCAGCCTCCTTTATCACATTATTTTATTTTATTTAAAGATTTTTAAAATTTATTTATTTGAGAGAGACATAGGGCTCGATCCCAGGACCCCAGGATCATGACCTGAGCCAAAAGCAGACACTTGGTCCACTGAGGCACCCAGGTGCCCCTCCATTTTTTATTTTACTTATTAATGACATTTATCCCGACTTGGTATTTTTTTTTGTTTGTTGCCTGTCCCCCTACTATAATGAAAACGCCTTCATAAGAGCATCGACCTTGTCTATAATGCTCTTCGTTATACCTGGAAGGGAGCATAACACCCTATATTTGTGCTCAAAACATTTTTTTGTAGCCTACTGGTGATACAGGGTATTGCTTCTAGACTACAGACTTTGGAAATCAAGTTAAAATTCTGACTCTCTATGTGATCTTGAGCAAGTCCAGTTTATTCATATGATAATGGAGATAAAAATAGAAATAACTTCATAAGTTTATGAGGATTAAATGAAGTAAGAGTCATCTAAGCATAGTGGTTAAGATCTTAGGGACAGGCAGATGCAAATCCATCCCCTACTACCACCACTCAGGAAATACCTACACCTTCCTCTCTCTTACCACTTCACACAAGTAGGGAAGGATATGAAGTAGTATGGTGTACATAAAGCACTCAATACAGGGCCCAACACATGGTAACTGTTCAGTAAATACTTTCAATGAATACCTATGAAATAGAAAACTTGCATTTCTGGTACAGGCTAGGGACACATGTACAATATGGTCAAAAGGAGACAGTAAGAACCTGTAAGGCAGTAAAACCACCTCCTAAGGGTAAAGTCAGAGAAACCTGAGTCCAAACCTGGTTGTGTACTATCGTTTTTTTCCAGGATTTTCCCATATATAAATGATAGTAACAGAAGTTACCTTAGAAGCTTATTGCATTAAATGAGATAATGGATAGACATTTCTACCTAGCAGCACCTAGCACAGTGCCTGGCAAATATTTCTTAAGTGACCAACATATGATAAGGCATTTAGTCCAGTACACAGTAAGCATTCAGTAAGCATTTGTTGTGGTTGTTTCTGATATTATTACTATCGTTATTATTGTGGAAGCAGGGAAGAGTAAAAATGCAAATTACCATTTGTGGGTCACAGCCTAATGGGAAGCTATACTCTCGATTATAAATATTCCTTCATGAGGACCCAGATTCAGGCAGACATTATTTGTTAGCCCAAACTATTTACTTTTCTTATTCTACATCTGATTGATTCTAAACTTCTCTAGGTTACAAGTGACCAAACCACAGCATAAACATCAGGATGAGAGGGATTATATTTCTCTAAAACCAACCAATACCTAGGTTTCACTTATGACTGGAAAATCCAATCATGGCTACCACCATGGTATCTCATTTCAACTCTCTTACCCACTAGTTCTGGAATGAGGCCTAAGTAAGCATGGTGTTCCTGCATTTATTTGGGTCAGCCTGATCCTTCCGGACCTTCCTCTATCCAAATAAAAACAAATATTAATTTAGAACTGTCCCCTTATCATTTCCTTGGGAAAACACATTTTAACTACAGGCCTTCAAAGCAGCAATCCATTTCCTCTTCCTTAGGTCCCTAAGCAGATTCTTGCTAATATTTGCCGATTTCTTTCTTTCTCTTTCTTTGTTGTGTCATCCCAGGCTGTCATGGTGTCCCTGCTGACAGATTATTCACCTCAGCTTCAGAAACCAAAGTTTTGACGCAGTGATGTTTGTCAAGAGAGAAACAGTGTTCTTCAGTAACTGAATAAGTCAACTTATGGAGGAAGGAGAAGAGAATCTAAGAAATAAACAAATCTTGACACACAGTATAGGTGAATGATGTGATATTGCTTTACCATTGTGAAACCTTCCTGAAGGCCTTAATTTAAGCGCCGATGCACTACAATACATGGCTTGACTTGGTTTAAACTCTCTAGTGCACAATTTCGAGTTAAATTTGGGTATCATATTAATAGTCGTGTACACTTGCTTCAACTAAACATAAAATACTGTGTTCATAATGCATAATGTCTAAGCCATTAAATGTAATCTATGCTTATTATCTTAATAAATTATCACTCGTGCTAATTTGTAAGTAAACATTTACCAGGCAGTCAGCTGCTGGTAGATCTGTGGGCTGTGTTCATATCCCCCAGGACCAACAAGGAAGCCAAATGATCCATCCTGCTGATGTAGTACAGTTTTCAGGCAAATGAGGTGGACAGACATTCACTTATGCATAGAGGAAATGATGAAATTCTTGGAAAACAGCTATAACGGTGCCCAAATTCAAGTTTTTTCTGGTTATATGTGGGAAGGATTTTTCAAAAGCACACACCTCTTCTCCGTAATGAACATTTAATGTCAAAAGCCTAAAGAAGCCTTTGTGAACAAATGGCAAAACCATGGAAACCTAGGTGGGAACATAAGATCCGTTGCAGAGTGATATTTTCGTAGGTTCAAATTCTCTAGCAGAAGCAATTTAATTTTTTCATGTTTGTGCTTATTGTGCATCTACTCACACCCCACACTGGATGTGTCTATAAATGCACTGCTTGCCACATTTTAGTCCATTCTTTTCTCTACAATTTTTAACCAGGATAACAAAAATTTGCATCACTGGATTATTATAATGTAATTAAGGCTACATGCTTTTGTGGGTGATCAAAATTTGTACAAAATATTAAATAACATAAGTGGAACTTTAAGAAAATAATGTATTTCACAGAGGATAAAAAAAAATAACCATCTTTATGTTCTGCCTCGCTATTAGAAGAATGTTTCCAGGCTGGTTGACAGACATTCTTTAGCAGATAGCTATGACTTAAATGAGTAAGAGATGAATTACAAATTAGATTTGCAATGAACATGCAATAAAATATATTTTTAGGGAGAAAAGGCAGATAATGTTACAAGAGAAAAATCCATTTTTTCTAGTAAATATCAAAGTTGACTTTCTTGTCTATGGTAATTTCTTGGGACCACTCAAGAAAGAAAGAATGGAGTTTAACAGACTATCTTCTTTCAGTAGAGAGTATAGAATGATTTAACCAGAAGGTGCCATATACACTGTGGAAGCTCTCCCTCAAACTACCTATATATAAAGGACATAATCCTAAGTATACTTCTACTATCTAAATGGTTGCCCATGGTAATGACCTCTCTTTACGGGTTACTCTCTGAACCAAATGGAAGGTATATTCTTCACTCAATCAAAAATAACTTCTAATCATTTTCTTGTCATAATGTAATCACTTTATCTCAATAAGCCCCAAAGTTTTCTTTTATGTATACACCAATTTAATATCTTTCTCAACATAAAACTATAGGAATTTATTTGCTTTCTTAACTTTTCATCTTACAAAGACATTATTTATAACATTAGGAATAAAGAAAACAGGGAAGGAAGATATAGCCTTAATTTTTCCAAAGCTATTTTTAATCTCTTATTTTTACTTTTTATGTTTTCTTCCCTCATCACTTTTTCTGTATATCTACTGCATCAGAAAAGATTAACAAAAACTCCAGCAATGACCTTTGAGTCTCTGGTGTACATAATAGATCCTATCCACTTAATATAACTGGCCAAAGATTTCCTTTCTTCCAGGCTTTCTTCACTGCAATATTGGAAGTAAAACATCAAGTAATTACACTGCAATGATTTCAGTGTTGGAGAAGAATCAACAGGTTTCTTTTCCCCCAATTTTAAGTTTCTAGGAACTTAAGAAAAGTAATTCATTGTCAAATATTTCTAACTGATATTGCATTAATGACTTAACTATAGTAGAATACCCAGGCAAATCTGCATAGATTAGCATGGCAATACTATGTTAGACCTCCTACACAAGCAAGTGACCCTAGAACCTCAGTTAAAATGGCGGGGACCCCTTAGTCCAATGCCAAAGTGTCAAGGAAAGTCTCCTCCTGTGATAAAAATGAACAAAGAATACATACAGAGATGGTATATACAGAATATATTTGGGGGGGCCTTTCTGTTTTGAAAGCTCTCCTCAACATCTATATTATGGAGGTGGTTGAAGTACATCTTGAGACATGGCACCACTCAGCAATTTTGTAGCCTTTATGTCTTTTGACAGATATAAAAGGTTATATCAAAGAATGGAAAACCAGTTTAGTCACAATGATCAGACTCCTACAACTGGGAACACATTACTGATGGTGTTCCACATCACATTACTGATGTGAAACTTGTGCTCTGTGCCAAGGTCTCAGGTGAAAGGTGTGAGCAGGGCTGAAACCTGGATTGCACTTCAGTTACCAAGTCTTGTGTTTCCTTCAGGCCTTACAGCCAGGAGAAAAGAGTGACTTTTAAATAAGCGGTCTACCCAGGGGGCACATTTTTCAGCATTTCATAAGCCTGAATAGGTGTTTTATTTTAAGTCACACAAAGGGCCAGTATCTGGTAGGGGTGGCCCTACCATCAACTATTTACATTTAGAATTTTTTTCAATACCATTTTGTACTTGATTGAAATAAGACATATAGAGATACTTCAGTGTCTTGCCTCAGTTTCTGCCACAGTTTCATTAAGACATCAGAATGGAAGTGAAAGTGTCTGTTTATTTTTGTATGGCAAATACATGAGAGATCATTGAAGCAGAACTTTGAGATCAACTCTGCTATTCTTTGATCTTTTGAAGAAATTCATCCCTTGTCCTGAAAATTTAATATCAATTAATGGTAAAAGAATCTTGGTCAATAATGAAGCTGAAAGAAGAGGGAAAGAAAAGTAATGGATCATAAAGGTAGACTTAGGAAACTCAGCAACTTATTAAAATGTAGTAACATTTGTATCATAGGAGTCCCAGAAGATGAAGAGGGAGAAAAGGGGGCAAAAGGTTTATTCAAACGAATTATAGATAAAAACTTCCCTGATCTGGGGAAGGACACAGATGTCAAAATCCAAGGAGCACAGAGAACTCATTAAATTCAACAAAGGTTGATCATTGCCAAGGCATATCATAGTCAAATTCACAAAATACACAGACAAAGAATCTTGAAGCTACAAGGGGAAAAAAGCCCTTAACCTATAAGGGAAGACAGATCAGGTTCATGGCAGATTTGTTCATAGAAACCCAGAAGGCCAGAAAAAAAGTGGCAGGATATATTCAAGGGGCTGAATGGGAAAAATATGCAGCCAAGAATTCAATTTTTTAAGACTGAATTATTTATTTGAGAGAGAGAGAGAGAGAGAGAGAGCATAAGCAGGAGGGGCAAAGGGAGAGAGAATCCCAAGCAGACTCCATGCTGAGCACAGAGCCTGATGCAGGGCTCAATCTCACAACCATGAGATTACAGCCTGAGCCAAAACCAAGAGTCAGACACTTAACCAATTGTGCCACTCAGGCACCCCTGCAACCAAGAATTCTTTATCCAAAAAGGCTATCATTCAAATAGGAGAAATGAAGAATTTCCCAGACAAACAAAAATGAAGGGAGTTTGTGACTACTAAACCACCTCTGAAAGAAATTAAAAGGGGGACTCTTTGAGTGGGAAGAAAAAGACCAAAAGCAACCAAGATTAGAAAGGATCAGAGAACATCACCAGAAACACTAACTCTACGGGTAACACAATGACATTAAATTCATATCTTTCAAAAATCACTCTGAATGTAAATGGACCAAATGCTCCAATCAAAAGACATAGGGTACCAGAATGGGTAAAAAAAACAAGATCCATCTATATGCTACCTATAAGAGTCTCATTTTAGACGCAACAAAACATGCAGATTGAAAGAAAGGGGATGGAGAACCATCTATCAGGCTAATGGACATCTAAAGAAAGCCAAAGTAGCCATACTTATATTAGACAAACTAGATATATTTATTTAATTTTTAAAGATCTTCTTTGAGAAAGAAAGAGTGTAAGCAGGGGGAGGAGCAGAGGGAGAGGGAAGTAATCCGTAGACTTCATGCTGAGTGCAGAATCCAACATGGGGCTTGATCCCACAACTCTAAGATCATGAACTGAGCCAAAATATAAGAGTTGGTGCTTAACTGACTAAGATACTTAGGCACCCCCAAACTAGATTTTAAAACAAGAATTGTAACAAGAGATGAAGAAGGGCATTATATCATAATTAAGGGGTCTATCCATCAAGAAGATCTAACAATTGGGGGCACCTGGGTGGCTCAGTGGGTAAGCTTCTCCCTTCGGCTCAGGTCATGATCTCAGGGTCTTGGGATCAGGCTCTCTGCTCAGCAGGGAGCCTGCTTCCCTCTCTCTCTGCCTGCTTCTCTGCCTACTTGTGATCTCTCTCACTGTCAAATAAATAAAATCTTAAAAAAAAACACTTAAAAAAAGGGAAGATCTAACAATTGTAAATATTTATGACCCCAACTTCAGAGCACCCAAATACATAAATCAATTAATAATAAACATAAAGAAACTCATTGATAATAATATAATAATAGTAGGGAACTTTAACACCTCACTTACAGCAATGGATAGATCCTCTAAGCAGATCAACAAGGAAACAATGGGTTTGAATGACACACTTGACTGGACGGACTTAACAGATATATTCAGAACATTTCATCCTAAAGCAGCAGAATACACATTCTTTTCGAGTGCACATGGAACACTCTCCAGAAGAGATCACACACTGGGTCACAAATCAGCCCTCAACAAGTACAAAAAGACCGAGATTATACCATGCTTATTTTCAGACCACAACGCTATGAAACTTGAAGTAACTTGAAGTCAACCACAAGAAAAAAAATGGGAAAGACCTCAAATACATGGAGGTTAAAGAACATCCTACTAAAGAATAAATGGATTAACCAGGAAATTAAAGAAGAAATTTAAAAATCCATGGAAGCAAATGAAAATGAAAACACAACAGTCCAAAACTTTGGGATGTAGCAAAGGCAATCCTAAGAGGGATATATATTGCAGTACGGGCCTTCCTCAAAAAGCAAGAAGAGTCTCAAATACACAACCTGACCTTACACCTGAAGCAGCTAGAAAACCAACAGCAAATAAAGCCTACAGACAGCAGAAGAAGGGAAATAATGAAGATTAGAGCAGAAAAAAATGATATAAAACAACAACAACAACAAAACCAGTAGAACAGATTAATGAAATTAAGAGCTGG